TCATTTTATTTTTATTTTTGCTTAAATAATATACATAAAGTATTCGACGTAAATGTTCAAAAAAAACAGCGTCAAATTTTGAAATGTGTTCAACAAGTTTAAAAAAAGTTTCCATTGTTTTCTTTGAAAACATGTACCACGCAAACTTATCCTTGAGTACCAAGGAATTGTGCCATAGAAGGAGAGGAGTTGAAACTAAATTTTTTGTTTTAAAATAAAACTGTAAACTGCATTTTTTTTTTTCAAGAAAAGCCTAAAACTAAAATAAATGAACTTGACATGGTACTTATTTGTAAATTAAAGCGCACTTGTATAGTAAAAGATTTAACTGCTTCATAAGGACCTTTTAAATCTTGAGCCTGTAAATTATTCTCCTGACGTATTTTTCTTCTAGCTCACAAGTGGTTTTTGTTATGATTTCTAAAAATGGTTAAAAGTACACTTATCATCCGACATCAAGAAAAAAATCAATTATTTAGGCTTAAATAACAGCAATCAATTAATTAGGCTTAAATAACAGCACTCAATTATGTAGGTTTAAATAACAGCAATCAATTATTAAGACTTAAATAACAGCAATCAACTATTTAGGCTTAAATAACAGCACTCAATTATGTAGGTTTAAATAACAGCAATCAATTATTAAGTCTTAAATAACAGCAATCAACTATTTAGGCTTAAATAACAGCAATCAATTATTTAGGCTTAAATAACAGCAATCAATTATTTAGGCTTAAATAACAGCAATCAATTATTTATGCATAAATAACAGTAATTAATTATTTAGGCTTAAATAACAGCAATCAATTATTTAGGCTTAAATAACAGCAATTATTTTAGGCTTAAATAAAAGCAATCAATTAATTAGGCTTAAAAAACTGCAATCATTTCTTTAGGCTTAAATAACAGCAATCAGTTATTTAGGCTTAAATAACAGCCATAAATTATTTAGGCTTAAATAACAGCAATCAATTATGTAGGTTTAAATAACAGCAATCAATTATTTAGGCTTAAATAACAGCAATCAATTATTTAGGCTTATATAACAGCACTCAATTATGTAAGTTTAAATAACAGCGATCAATTATTTAGGCTTAAAAAACTGCAATCATTTCTTTAGGCTTAAATAACAGCAATCAGTTATTTAGGCTTAAATAACAGCAATCAATTATTTAGGCTTAAATAACAGCCATAAATTATTTAGGCTTAAATAACAGCAATCAATTATGTAGGTTTAAATAACAGCAATCAATTATTTAGGCTTAAATAACAGCAATCAATTATTTAGGCTTAAATAACAGCAATCAATTATTTATGCATAAAGAACAGTAATTAATTATTTAGGCTTAAATAACAGCAATCAATTATTTAGGCTTAAATAAGAGCAATTATTTTAGGCTTAAATAAAAGCAATCAATTAATTAGGCTTAAAAAACTGCAATCATTTCTTTAGGCTTAAATAACAGCAATCAGTTATTTAGGCTTAAATAACAGCCATAAATTATTTAGGCTTAAATAACAGCAATCAATTATGTAGGTTTAAATAACAGCAATCAATTATTTAGGCTTAAATAACAGCAATCAATTATTTAGGCTTATATAACAGCACTCAATTATGTAAGTTTAAATAACAGCGATCAATTATTTAGGCTTAAAAAACTGCAATCATTTCTTTAGGCTTAAATAACAGCAATCAGTTATTTAGGCTTAAATAACAGCAATCAATTATTTAGGCTTAAATAACAACCATAAATTATTTAGGCTTAAATAACAGCAATCAATTATGTAGGTATAAATAACAGCAATCAATTATTTAGGCTTAAATAACAGCAATCAATTATTTAGGCTTAAATAACAGCAATCAATTATTTATGCATAAAGAACAGTAATTAATTATTTAGGCTTAAATAACAGCAATCAATTATTTAGGCTTAAATAACAGCAATTATTTTAGGCTTAAATAAAAGCAATCAATTAATTAGGCTTAAATAACAGCACTCAATTATTTAGGCTTAAATAACAGCAATCAATTATTTAGGCTTAAATAACAACAATCAATTATTTAGGCTTAAATAACAGCAATCAATTATGTAGGTTTAAATAACAGCAATCAATTATTTAGGCTTAAAAACTGCAATCAATTATTTAGGCTTAAATAACAGCAATCAATTATTTATGCATAAATAACAGTAATCAATTATTTAGGCTTAAATAACAGCAATCAATTATTTAGGCTTAAATAACAGCAATCAATTATTTAGGCTTAAAAAACTGCAATCATTTCTTTAGGCTTAAATAACAGCAATCAGTTATTTAGGCTTAAATAACAGCAATCAATTATTTAGGCTTAAATAACAGCCATAAATTATTTAGGCTTAAATAACAGCAATCAATTATGTAGGTTTAAATAACAGCAATCAATTATTTAGACTTAAATAACAGCAATCAATTATTTAGGCTTAAGTGACGGCGATCAATTATTTATGTATAAATAACAGCAATCAACTATGTAGGTTTAAATAACAGCAATCAATTATTAAGACTTAAATAACAGCAATCAACTATTTAGGCTTAAATAACAGCAATCAATTATTTAGGCTTAAATAAAAGCAATCAATTAATTAGGCTTAAATAACAGCACTCAATTATTTAGGCTTAAATAACAGCAATCAATTATTTAGGCTTAAATAACAGCAATCAATTATTTAGGCTTAAATAACAGCAATCAATTATGTAGGTTTAAATAACAGCAATCAATTATTTAGGCCTAAAAACTGCAACCAATTATGTAGGTAAGATTGTACTTCCAATCTATAAAATAATTTAATCTCCCATCGGGCATTTGTTTTTAAAAGTTACGTTCTAAATGTATTTTAAATGTCTTTTAAACGTCTTCTAAACATTCTTACGTAAAAAACATTTAAAACACGTTTAAAAGACATTTAGAATGTAACTTTTAAAAATAAATGTCCGTAGGGCTATGTCTTTTCTTGTTGTTTTTTTTTCACAAACTTATTCTTTCAAATAATTAACTAATTACTACTTTTTCTGTAATTATTTTTTAATTGAAGTACAGAGCAAATACATACAAATCAATAATTTATAATATAAACTTTGGCGCCCCTAAATGTAAACAACAATAAACAATTTAACACGCAAACAACAGGATTTAAATAAACATATAACTTATAAACTTGTGCTTTCAAAAATTAACTAATTAATACTCCATGATTTAATTATTCTTTAATTAAGCAAAACTGAACAAAATTATTAGTCTAGGAAATAAACTTTGGCGCCCGAATATGTAAATAACTCAGAACATTTACACATTATGAACTCCAAAAATTATATTTAAGTTTATTTTTTTTAATTAAAATTATAATTGAAAAAACGCAAGAAAAAAAATATGTTGGCTTCGAACTCTTCAAACAGATTCATAAACAGAAATCTAATGGTGTTTCCTTTATAAGTAGAACTCTAACGAGGCTTTCTTTATTCATACGTCCACATTATTGTCAAAATAAAAGCTGTAAAATAGAAATTGAATGTTTAACAGTTGGTAGCTATCCGATATTGTTTCTCCATGTTCAATCAAAAGTTTCAAAAAAACTTATATACTAATTTTTTTATTAGAAACGTTTATGTGGTAGACCTGAGCATTGTATAAAGATTCTGATGATGCTTACTGGCACCAGTAAAGATCAATTCAAATGGTAGGAACAGACCTTTTTTATCGACAAGATCTTTAGACAAAGGTTTCATAACTTTTTCAAGCAAGTTGGTTGCTTGATTATATTACTACATTTATAAAGGTAAAAAAACTCTTATGTATATTGACCATGACGGTAAGAGAAAAAAGGTAAAGAAACTCTTTTGTATATTGACCATGACGGTAAGAGAAAAAAGGTAAAGAAACTCTTTTGTATATTGACCATGACGGTAAGAGAAAAAAGGTAAAGAAACTCTTTTGTATATTGACCATGAAGTTATTCGAATTTAAACTCAAACTTTCTTTGAAAGATTCTCCTTCTCTTCTAGGATAATTTAAGAAATTTAAATATGATTGGCGTTTTAAAATTTAATTTTAAATATGATTGGCCTTTTAAATTTAATTTTAAAGAGAAAAGTTTGAACGTTGTTAGACAGAAATGAGTTTAATCTTCTTGATGGAATGTTTACATTTATAAACCCAAGAATACCTTTACTTTGATGAGATGTAAAATTGCGAAGTTTTATAACTTTTATATAAAAACTAGCCAATTGCAAATGAGTTCTAGCTTAGTTTCATCAAAAATAAACACATTAACAATTTTAAAATAGTTACACCTGTGACATACTTAAGATAAACATTTAGCCCTAAGTTTATCTAAATCAGTCTTTTTCTTTATTGTGGTTATTTAATTTTGTGATAAGAGATATGAAATATGATATGCAATCCAACACCAAAATACGTTCAAATATAATATTTTGTTTGCGCAACAATAACAATTGCGTTTGACCAACGTTTGGCAAACTAAATTTTGGTGCTCGGGTTTGGATTAACACACTCGAATTTGTTAATAATTATGCATTGCTTTCTATCAGTGTTATAACTCTGAATCTCAAAATGTGTTTTATTAATTAAAAAAAAAAAAAAAAATTTAAATAAAATTTGGATAAATATTTAAATTAAATTTGAATAAATTTTTAGTTGAATAACAAAGTAAAAAATTTTTTTGTGGCAAGAGCCTAAAACTAAAACTTTTGCTAAAAAACATAAACAGTTATTTAGACATCTTAACTATTTCACTCAGACATTCAAACAATAACATTAATATACAAAGTAATTTATATAAGAATTAACACTAAATGCTAATATAAATATTTATCACGCGTCAAACACATGCGCAGATAACAAACAATTTTTTTAAATTTTTTTTTCTGATTTTAGTAGCTTTATCTTTAAAGTCTTTAATTATTACAGTTTATTGTTAAAAACTAAGTTTAAACGGTTCTTTAAATTACTAACTGATTTATAATACCTAGCAGTGTTTTTAATGCTTAAATGGCTTCTTTTATTGATGGTAATAATATGAATGCTATTAATCAAAGTGTTCATGTCTCATTTTTTTATATAAACGATACCATCCTTTTTTAGTACCTATTAACACTTTCTTCTGTATATTTTTTGTCGGATTAAGTATTTCAGAACAGTCAGATCGAGACTTAGTATTGATCTTACAATCCGTGTAAGCGTCCATGTAATCAATAAGATAATCCAGTGGTGAAGACCCCTAAATTAAAAAATACATATATAACAGATCAACAATTATACAACTCAAGCATTACAAAAGCAGCTTATGATGTTTGAATTTTCCAATTTTCAAAATATTTAGTTACAATTCTTTCGGTAGCTCTCTGAGAGTTGCTTTCTTTTCTTACATCATTGTACTCTGCTTTACTAAGTTGACCTTAAAATAAACTTTATTGTTTTCAATGTTCAAAATAACTTTCCACAAGGTCAGTCTGTTCTCAGAGAATTTTTATATAAAATATAATTTAAAAATGTATTGTTTCCTTTAACTCAAATAAAAATTAATAAATGCTAATAAACAATATATTGGGTTAACCAAGTGCAAATAGGAAAAAAAGATATGCTAATCACAAATAATCTTTTTGAAATTTTAAAAAAATTTTGAAGTTTATTTCCCCTCACCATAAACAACAGGTCATGTCAACAAAATAGGGGAAGCGGGAATGGAATCTCTTGTCAACAACTTGTCAAACCTTTAGGGATCACATAAAAATTTACGTCAACATTTGGTTACCCCTCAAATATTTTTTCAAGAAGTTAAGTGAACAACATCACTCAAGCATTATAAATACGTCATCTTGATGCAAAAAGGTTGACATGGTGATGGTTGACAAAGATCACGAGCTGAAAAGTTTGTAATTTCACAGAAACTTTAAATCCAATATCTTTGCAAAAAAATTTCACAGAAATTTTCTCGCAAAGATATTGGATTTTTAAGATAATTTTCTGTAATATTCTTTTTGCAAAGTCCGTTGCAAAAAGAAGATTGCAGTTAAAGAAACAAGTATTAAGCTATTATCGAATTAAAAAAATAAATACACATCAAATCTTGGAATTAGTGGTTAAACTTTTAGTTTGAGAAATGAACAAATAAAAAAATGCTTTTTGAGCATTCAATTTTCATATTTAAAAGTTTTTCTTCAGGAATTTCTACCACCATGAATACTCGTCGTTTATATGCAGAATGGATTAAAATAGAAAAAACATGTTAAACGTGGTTATTAATTATAACAAATCATTTTAATTCCTAAATAAGTTGATGTCCAATTGAGCGAAGAAGAAATTTTTGAGAAATTAACTCATGGTTACTCTAACTATTCTCAAATCATTCATAAAGATGTTATAAAGCATTTTTTCCAATTTTGTTTCATATATTTTCTCTTCTATATATGAAATATATTTCCAATTATATTTCATATATTCCTTCCGTTTCAGGACACTTAGTGACCATTTTAAAATAAAAATAAGTTACTGCTTGTCAACAATGAGATTTAAATATGGACCCATATTCAATGCGAAACATTTGATGACGGTGATTTGATAATGATGATCTGATGACGGTGATTTGATCATGATGGTTTGATGATGGTGAGTTGATCATGATGGTTTGATGATGGTGAGTTGATCATGATGGTTTGATGATGGTGAGTTGATCATGATGGTTTGATGATGGTGACTTGATAATGATGATCTGATGACGGTGACTTGATCATGATGGTTTGATGATGGTGACTTGATCATGATGGTTTGATGATGGTGACTTGATCATGATGGTTTGATGACGGTGATTTGATCATGATGGTTTGATGATGGTGACTTGATCATGATGGTTTGATGATGGTGAGTTGATGATGATGATCTGATGACGGTGATTTGATGATGATGGTTTGATGATGGTGACTTGATGATGATGGTTTGATGATGGTGAGTTGATGATGATGGTTTGATGAACAATGTTGAACTGACTCTTTTCCAGTAATCAATATAAATGAACTTACTCCACTAATTAAAAAAAATAAAATTAATTTGTTTGGATTAAAGTGATCCATTTATGTAATAAAAAGAGTTTGTTTTTTTTCATTTTAAAATTTTGCTTCAAAACATTTTTTAATTATTTGCTTTACAGAAAAACATTATAACATTATATCGTTGCTTTATTCTAACAAGATTGTTGTAAATATGTAAAACTTAAAATGTAAAAATTAAGTAAAAATTAGGAATTCATTTAATAATAATGTTGTTATAACAGTAAGTATATTTTTATTATAGAGTATTATTTTTATTACTATTATTATTATTATTATTATTATAAAGTATTATTTTATCATAGAGTATTTTAGAGTTTCATACTTTAATAACTATTTACAAGGCCGGCGACACAAGGGGGGGGTACGTGCCCCCTCCTTTTTTTTTTCTAAAGGACCTTTTTTTTTTTTTTTAAGAAAAATCTTGATATAGAGGACTTTTTTGATTGTTCCCCTCCTTCCCCACTTAAAAACCCGTGTCGTCGTCCTGATTTAACGTTTTTATAATTATATGTTTATATAACTATTATTACAGCTTTTATTATTTTAACAATCTAACTGTATTTATGTATTAATAAATTAATAATAAAATTAACTCTTGTAATAATTTTAAAAGTAAAAATAAGTAATAAATAAGAGGTAAATGTAGTAATAAAAAGTAAATAAATAAGAGATAAATATAATAAATAAGAGATAATTGTAATAAAAAGAGTATAAAAATTATATGATACCTGAGATAAAAGATGATAATGAAATTCTTTTTCATTGAATGTAGCATTATTTTTTTTAAATTTGTTTTCTGTAGTATTTCTGATATTCCAAATTACTAGTTGCCCAATCATGTATGCTGTGGCTTGACCAGGGCCACTCATATACCGGATAGTATCTTTTAATGATTTGTCAGTAAAATCCCAAGCATATTTTCTAAATAAATCCAAAGATTGATCTTGAGTTAAATCTAAAAAAAAATATTGTAAAATAGTTTAAGTGAAATATTTACGTCTCTTGAAGTTTTTCTCCCTTGTATTTTTGTCCATAATAATAAGTTAGCATTGCTCTTGTCCCAGCCCAATCTATCTATAGGTCCTAGCCCTCCAATATAGCAATAAAGTGAACATTACTTCTATAATGCAATCCAGTGTCAATAATCAATCTTAGCGCTCTCCATATTTGCCATTTTACCATCCCATACTCTTGAAGAGGGTTACTTTGGTAATATTTTGTCTCCTGTGCTAATAGGGGGTTTTCGGCATACAACGCCCATCCTTCAGTAAATGCAGTAAAGTAAGTGCTTGCATCAAGCCAATCAATAACATCTTTTTCATCGCCTGACGTTAAAAAATGTTCATAGAAACCTTGAACCTTTAAATTAACATATGTAGAATTACTTAATTATCAAAAAAATAAATAAATAATTGTAAATGTATTTATTATTAATAAACGTCTTCATACTAAAAACAAAATTGGTTTTCATAAATGTGTTTAGAACCTGTGTATGATGTCCTGGTCTTCCCTCATGTCCTGCAACTGAGAAAGCGCTATATTTTGGACCAGGCCTTTCTAAAAAAAATGGAAGATTGTACTGGCATGGCATTTTACAATCTGAACCAGAAGAGTGATAAGATTGAGAACCACTTGAAGGGTTAAAATTTGCAACCATTTGAAGAGGACAATTAGGCGTTGTTGATTGCTTCCCTACCATGTTAAACATTGACACTGTCATTGGATCAATAATAGCTAATAACTCACGGACATACTTAAACCATTCATTCATTGCGTTGTACCTAGAATGATAAAATTACAAATATAACAAAAATAATGTTTTCTATATAAACCTTTTTTCTATTAGTTTGCAAGTTGTGAGGATTATCAGCAACTTTAGCTTTTTAATTTACATTACCGTACGGGACAGTTAATTTTTGCCGTAGCCATGTTTTTACATTTTTTTGCACCTTCGTTTCCATTTTCACTTTCTGGTATCAACGATGTATTAAAAAAGTGTTTAGGGTCATTCAAGTCTTCAATAAATGTTTTAATAGCATCATCTTCGATGTTTTTCTGTGTAATTTGTTTCGCTAAAAGAATAGCTCTTTTAAATAGAATATTTGTTTGGTTTAAACCAAGCTCGTTTATATCTTCTGGTGAGTACCGATTAGTTGTTGTAAAGTACGGTAAAATCATTTTGTAGCTCTTTTTTCCATCAAGTTTTTCCCCTGTTGGTAATGATTGCGTTGTTTCAAAGTCTGTCTGAACTCCATCTCTCCAGATATAACTTAAAGGTAAGTTTCCAAGTCCGCTTGATACTGACGAAGGTACACAAGAGCGGATATAGCTTTCATCTAAATAAGTTATCAATGTATGCAACGGTTCACCTAAATATTCAACTAAAATTTCAGATACTTTAGACAAGATGTTTTTTTTGTATTTTTCTTGAAATTTGAGGTTATCTTCCAAGCTCAGGTTAGAATAAAACTTCTCATTTAGTAAGTTTTGTGTAAATGATTCTTCTCGTATTCCTGTAACAAACAAAAATTCAAACAAGTTTATACAATTTACTTAAACAACAAAAAAATTTAAAATAATTTTTACCAGTCGCTCCCTTTTCAACTGTTTTAGGAAATTTTTGTCTAAAAGCGTTATTTCCAGCATTACAGTCGTCAACAGCTCTCACCATGCCGGCACGAACGCCATAATTTAAGTTTTCTTGGTACTTTTCAAGAATAGTTTTGTGTTTTTTTAAACTCTCAATAATTTTTTCCACATGGGATATTGTTTTAGGAGAGAACTCAAAAGAAAAATGTTCCTTTAAGTTGGAGCCAATATTGCAAATAGGTTGCCAGCAAAAATAGTTTGGACCCATCATCCAAACACCTGCATAATAGTTTCCCTCAAAAGGATTTCCGAAAATACTTTCCAAAAAATGAGTCACTTGGGCGTACGCCTTTCTTTCACGAGGCGTCATTTTCGTGACATCCAACTTAAAATTTGTCAACTCGTCCTTTAAACTTTTTGCCAGATCAGTTAGAAATTTAAGCCGAATTGGATTTGGGTCATAAGGTGCAAAATTATTTAATACGGATGCAAACGTGACATCTGGGTCGTAAACTGTTTCTTGAGGATAAGATTGATAATAAAGTTTCTTTACTTTAGTAATAAAATCGATGAGATTTTGGCTATCGTTCTTTTTTGGGCATATAACATTATAATTAAGAACTCCTACAATCAGTACAACTAAAGAAATAATACACAACACTGCAACCAATATTTTTGCAACGTTGTGTTTTAAAAAATTTAACACTTTCATTTCAAAATACACTATTACAAAAAATCTGATTTAAAAAACTATAGATAACTTATTTTATTGTTTATTTAAAACGCGGTTGTAACAAACAGCATTTTTCAACGATGCATAAATCAGCGTTCAGGCGCGTGACATACATATTTGTTTTAATTTTTACGCCGGAGTTTTTAGAAAATAAAATCGGTACTACTAAAATATACTAATTTTCTAATAAAGTCAATACCAAAAAAAAAACTTTTTATTCTTTTTGTTGAAAAAAAAAAAAGGATTTTGAAGAAATAAAGGAGTTGTTTAAAAATAAAAATGAGCAAATTTATTTTTTATATTAAAGGCTTGCACAAAAATAGAAACCTGATCCGTTTTATTCCTCAAAAATAATGACAAAAAGTTTATTGTTTACGTTAGACGTCCGTTAAAGCAAACATTTAACCAACCTATAGTTACTATATACAATTTTTTTTTATTAAAAATAAGACAAAATAAGAATAATTTATTCAAATAACAAAAGTATTATTGAAACATATTTAGAAAACACTTTATAATTTTCATATTATTTATTTTATATTTAAAATTTCATTTCGAAATCGGACTTAAAACTTTAGGCAAATTGCATTTGACGATAATATGCGTTATGATTTAGTTTTGATTGATATATCATTTTCTTTTTAAACCGATTTCAACCAATTTTAGGTATTTTCAAATATAGAAGATTTACATTTTTACCAAAACTCTACCGAATACGAACAATTTTTTGCATACTTTTATAATATGAGTTACGATAATAACGACAAAACAGAAAGACTGACCAAAGCTTTCAATGGACACGGGTTTTGGGCGCGCACAAATTTTCCTAATTGGTAACTAAAAAAGTTTCCTTGGGTAAATACGCAAATTACTGGCCACAATTTTACAAGAAACACCCGTTACAGAAAAATATTCAAGTAAATGTTACATATCATATATCAATTTTTAGAGAATTAAAAACTCATATATCAATTTTTAGATAAGTAAAAGTTTTTGTGATTATAATAGCACAAAATCATATTTAACGCAGATAATAAAGATAAACAGTTTTACCAAGTACTCACCATCTTAACCATTTATTGGCCGTAGGCCTGAAATTAGGAAACACATTGAACAGATGTAAAGTTGAAAAATAATAAAACCAAACAAAAAAAGCACAGCATAAAATCAAGATAACTTGTTCAACTAAATTTATTTTGACACTGATTAAAGTAAATTAAGAAACTCCACAAAAAACTAAAAATAACTATTATTAAAAATATCATTTTTTTTTTTCATTCATCTTTCAATTTCTTCAAGTCAATTTCTTCAAGTTTGATATATGATCTAGCTTCTTTTTAGCAGAAATTTCTTCTTTTTCTTTTTAAATCTTTTGTTTTTCAATTTTTCTCTTTTCACTAGCTATCTTCGCAGCCCTATCTTCAAGCTTTGCATTATTTTCTAAGGTCAGAACAAAAAACTTTCAACTAAAGGTTTTTTTTTGATTTTTTTTGTTTTGTTTAATGTGTGGAGAAGGATATGTAAGAACATCTGAATCTTTTTCTGACGGACAAAATGAATTAGTAAATGGAAATGAAAGATTTGTTATGCAAATTATTTTATCATTTGAATCTAATGTTGATTCAGTTACTACTACTTCTTCAAGAATTATTTCTGAATCACTATTTAAACCCAGAGTATTGTCTTGAACAGAAAAATCAATAAACTGATTGTCTCGTAGTGGTTTGATTTTTGCATAACTGTGTTCTGTTAAAATATTTGAATATTGCATAGAATTGCCTTGAATGATAAAATAAATTAACTCATTTTCTTCCATTGGTTTGGTTAAAGAGTGTGAGTTAATTTTATAGCTGCCATTAGATAGATCAGGCAATAATGAAAGGTTGTTTAATATCGACATGTCACATACATTTTGAACTGAGACAGTATCTGAAATATGACTATATACAATATTTGGGATGTACGCCTCATTAGGAATAGCATCTGGATTAAACGGATAAATTCCACAAGCTTGAAATCCAGAGCGTACATTTGCATCAGTCATTGCATATTTCCATGCTTTTGAAAATAAACCACAAAAGTTAGAATGTGAGACTATTACACCTGGGTAGTCGTTCATAATTGTTTGGTAGACCTTAGAATAAGCAGTTTTTAGTGGCTTAAAAACTGTTCTGTCACAAGGCTGCAACATGTTGCTGGTGTGAGCTGGAAGCTCGACAATTTCAATTTGGTTTACAATAGCCAGCTCAATCATTTCAACAAAATTGTGTGATTGTGTGTCATCTAGGATTAGAATCTGTGGTCTTGCTGAGCCAATATTTGGAAGAAATGTTTTCTCAAACCATAATTCCGTAATACCTCGTTTTGTCCAGCGCTTTTCAGACACACTCTATGTTGCGCCACTTGAAGCATTTTCTGTATCAAAAACATAAAGGGTACGTAAAGTTTTTCCTTTCCCGATTATATGAGGTGGTATTACTTGACCAGCCGCATTTATGCAACATATGACAGTAATTGTCTCTTTGTTACCACTTATTCGACTCTGGATGTATTTTGAGCCTTTCCTGGCAACAACATGTCTTGGTTTATGCTCTAAATGCATCCCTGTTTCGTCCATATTCCACATACATTTTGGTTTGTCCAGTAAATTTTTGTTTTGTAAAAGAACTTCTAAAGAAGTAAAATATTTCGAAACCTTTACCCTCTCCATACACATGTGTCGTATAAAAGCTGTAGCTTCTGGACGACGAAGACTCACACAACCATGTCTCTTTTTAAGTAGCTGCAACCACCTTTCACTAGGTAGACCATTTTTGAAACTTATGTTATATTTTTTAGCAAGTTTAACAGCATAAATCATAAATGTTTTTTTTAAAATTAGCTGCAAATACTCCAGCACCAAAACAGCTGTTATTTTCACTGTAGTAAGTTACTTTGAATATTTAGAAAATAACAGCCTAAGTAAGTATCTATTTAATTATAATAACTGATATTAATAGTTATTAACTGTTATTAACAGTTATTAACTGCTAATAACAGTTAATAACTGTTATTAACAGTTATTAACTGTTATTAACAGTTATTAATAACTGTTAATAAATAAATAATAACAATTCTTAACAGTTATTAATAACTGTTAATAAATAAATAATAACAGTTAATGACTGTTAATAACAATTAATAACTCTTAATAACTGTTATTAACTGTTATTAGCTATTAATAACTGTTAATAACAGTTAAGAACTGTTAATAACAGTTAATACCCAGCCAATATTGACAGACGAGTACCGTATGGTTTTTGTCTGAGCTTACAGGAACGGGATTTTGAAGGGTAAGTGTTTCGGTTTCCGGACGGGTCACATATGGAAATAAAATCAAGCATACTTGCTTGTTTGGGTTTTATCTGGTTTTATCAGGACGGAAGAATCTAGGGATTTGATGGGTTTCCTAAAAGGTTCCCAAAAGGTTTAAACTAATATTTAAAAAAACCATAACAAAACTCACTCGATGGTTGCCATTTATAATTCGTATTGTGCGTGAAATAAATTCAAAAATTTAACATTTATGCATTATATTTTTTGTAAACATTATATTTTTTCGATGTATTTTTTCACTGTGAAACTCAATTCCAGTCAGAATTTTGAATTTCTTCCAAAAAATTCACATACATCCACATCTTTTAACACATTACATATCTTAAAAGTACATGATTTAATCAAAATTGAAAATTGCTTATTTATTCACAGCTGCCTTAATAAAAAACTGCCTCCTATATTAGATGAATGGTTTACTCCACGCAGTGCAATTAGCAGTCGATTTACAAGAAATTCTTGTAGCGGTGCACTGAGTGTGCAAACATATAATACAAAATCCTATGGTAAACAATTCTTTAAATACTCTGCATTAATGAACTGGAATCAACTTCAAAATAAATTAAAAACAATCCCTTTTGAAATATTAAAAAATATACTCTCAAAACTAAATTAAAATACTACCTGATACATCAAGATAAATTAAAACAACAATTGAATCGTTGGTGATAAAAGATTTATGACAATAGAAGTTATAAGAGATATGATATAAATATGAATGTTAAATAATAGCAACCCTATGTAAATGTATTAGCTAGCTTGTTTTTTTTTTGTTGTTTGTTTGTTTTGTTTTTGTTTTTCTTTCGTTTTTGTTTTGCTAATGGTTAGTCTGGACGCTACGTGTAACTTTTTCTTGGAAATGAAGTGGACATTACAAAAACTACTTAAATAGTTTAACATTGATATCTTGAATGAGAAAAACTTTACGTGCCTTTCTGAAAGTGCTTAAAGGGTCACATTTGGGCTCTTATTTGGTACTGATGACGTCATTTTGACATTTTTTTTTTAAAATCAATCTAGAAAAAAAATATTTTCGTCAAAAGTTAGATAAACTCTTGAGAAAACTTTATAATAAATAACAAAATCTCAAAAAAAACTTACGTGTCTTTCTGAAAGTGCTTAAAGAGCCAAATTTGGGGCATTATTTGGTACTGATGACGTTACGTTGGTCTACTTTTTTTTTTTATTAAACTAAAAAATATATATTTACGTCAAACGTTAGATAATCTCTTGAGAAAACCTTATAGTAAAAATAATAAAACCTTTAGAAAAACTTACGAGCAATTCTAATAGTGCTTAAAGGGTCAAATTCGGGCCCTTGTTTGGTACTGATGACGTCGCGCTAATAATTTTTTCAAATTTCGCGAAAAAAAAAAATTTAGTGAACAGATTTTTAAAAAGGAAAATTCGAATCAGTTGAATAATATATTGTCTAGGAGTCGTCTCAATCATTTGTGTTTTCACAAGATGAACAGTTGCGTACAAGTCAATCCATGCAATCAACCCGTGTTTCACATTTTGACTTTTTACACGAATAGGAATTAACTGCAAAACATCTTCAGGAGCAGGTCTAATGTGCATCAATTTAACCTCAAGTTGATTGCTAATTTCTCGCCATCCATATCCATTGGGTTTTGGAATATTGAGATTTGCCTCCACTGATTGTTTG